ATTTTTGAATGACTGTCCTTGCAGGATTGAGAACGAGATAAAAATTGTTAACTTTATCTTAGTTTACTGTCTCGTATAAATACATTTTTATGTTCATGCATAATTAGGCTTCATGGAGAGAGGAAAAAGGTTTAAAGCCTACTGCTGAAAAGTTGTTAAAAGCTAGGAAGTCGTTATTAAATGATGTTGCTGTCTTGATCTGTATTGCAGGATATCAAAAGATAAAGCTTCTTTATTTAACGTCACTTGTGAATCACCCCAAGCTTAAAGTTAAGTTGATATTAATATGATGAAAGGAGCCGATAAGTTCATTTTCGGAATATTCATAAAAATTCAGATTTACCATTATTGGTCGTCGAAAAATTGCTGCGATAATGTTCATTTTGCTCCTTTTAAGTGAGCAGATTTTGCAAAAATGTATATTGTAGTCTAATGGATATTTATTAACATTTTATCAGGTTCTTAAAGTCATAATCTTTGGCTAGAAAAAGTCATTTTTTCAAAAATGGATGAGTCAGTGATTGAATTTTATTGGATTGATTTTGGTTTTGGTCAAGTTATTTAAAACTAGGTTGTCAGGATGTTTAAAAAGATCACCATCCACATTTTGAATCATTGAAAATATTGATCAGATTGATTAGATCTGAAACTCGTCAATTTTCGTTCAGTTTGATCTTTTCCTGTCTAATTTCTGATATCTTAATGCTGAATTGTTTAAATTGAATTCTAATCTTGCAAACGAACATTTCGAACAATTTTCAATGAAACCAAAGTTTTAAACCAGAACAGTCTTATAAAATTCAAATACAACTAATCCAGAACAATATCCAAACGGAAGTATAAACAATCTTTAGCTTCATAAATATCAAAATCTATAAATGCTTCAATATTTAATTTACTGTGCCAAATTTTAATTAAAAGTCTTTTGAAATACAACTTTCTATTCTTCTGAAGATTTAATTGCAATCCTAAATCATTCCATTAAGTGTTTAATTGGCTGGTCGACACATTGTTTGCGCAGTCAATAAAAAATTATGCTTAATAGAATCTTCATCAGCAACAGTGAGAATGCAGTCGACAATAAATAAATGAATTTTTAATGAACTAGCCGATAATAAAAAGAATTGAAAAGAGAACATCAGCTAATAAAATGTTCAAAAATATTGGTTCTGTTTTTTATTAGCCAGTCTCGAAAAAGGTAGAATCAATATGTGCTATTTTTATGGCACTCAAATTCTGCAATAATATTCTAATTTTGAATAATTCGTTTTTTATTGGTCTGTATTGTTCGTCTGCTGAGCGCTAAATGCTATCCATTCGACTGTTGATCTACTTTAATTTCTTTAAGTATATTGCTAATGTCTACGTGAGATTCCGGACTTAAATGTTTGGTAAGCTTTGCATAACTTTAAATTATGGAATTTATTGCAAATACACAACAATAGCATTTCATTGCCTATGAGAATAGTTGACAGGAAAAGTTTTTATTTTGCCAGACTAAAAAAAAGTTTAAAGCTCATTTTCATATCTATCACATAAATTTTTGACAAAAATCATTACTGATTATAATGTGTGAATTTCTATGGCTACAAAAATTTTTCATCAAGTCTGAAAAGCTAATTTACATTAAGATTTGCATAAAGGAAACATAAATATTAAGTTATTACCTGGCACTATAAACAGGATTTTCAAAGCAATTGATCCAAATTCTTGTTTGAAAATCTTTCATTCTACTTCTTCAGGAGTGTTTTTCTGTTAAAAATGATGAGACTTGAAATTTTGATACAATCGAGTTGACAATTCCAATCTAATTTTGATATGAATCTTAACGTAGCTCTAAATTAGATATTTCCTATTTACTAGTACTTATTTCACTAAGATTAACCTTTTTGAATAAAGAGAACATATAAAAAAGCAATAATTATAATAAGAACCAATATAATCAATATTGAAAACTTGAAACCAAATCTTAGTGCACTATTTTGTTTGAGAAAAACCTAGTTCATGATTTGGCTTAGCTAATAGCCTCTGTAAATTATTTTCTATTATGTTCTAGCTTCTAGTTTGAATTAAGTCAAGTTTATTAATGTCTTGATCTCATCAAATTGTTTTTTATGAGTTTATTGAGCAATTAATAATTAACATAATTAGTCGTGATTCAGAACTTTTAAATGGATTCATACTTACAGAATATTTCTTTATTATTGTTGATTCAAATCTTAGAGAATTGAAACATCAATCAAAACTTTAATAACTGTTAACAAACCCTTCAGTAACCTTAATTGTAAATGAATTCAAAATGTTAAAGTGGCGCAAAAAGAATCCTTTTAAATTATAATTTACCAACCCTGAATTAAAGTCAAAACTTTTCAACATTCTAAAGCAGACAAGTCGTGTGATCAAGAATTCTTTTCTTCTGGCTCAAGCATGTGAATCACATTCGAGAGAATATTAAAATCGAATAAATGACTATAAATAGATCGAATTTATTCTTTTTGACTAAATCAATTTATTTATTTAAAATTATGAAGAAAAAAAAAAGTTTTCTTTTTCAAAATGTTTAGACGCATAGGTGTATAATATAAAGTATATCATTTATATAAAGGCAGATCATCATGAGTTGATTCCATTTTTTGATACTAAATTAATATTCAGAATGAATCGTAAAAATTGACATGCAGAATTGCTTAATTATTCATTCATTTCCTTAGACGATTTCAATCTATATTTTGATATCAACGTTTTATTTGCCGAATCCATTTGGAATGTCAATCGACAATCTCCTACAATTAAATTAACACAAATTACCATTAAGATTATGATCTAAATTAATTATTAATGTATTATTAAGAGAGATGAAATTTCACAATTAAAATTATTAAAATAAATTAATTTTTCCATCATCATTCATCGGTGGCATTTCACAACATTACACGAGCGGACGAGAAACAGAAATTTGGCAATAAAATGAAATTAAATCGCAGAAATTTTAACATGAAACATTTTGAATGTGTTTACGATTTATATGTTAATTTTAGCTGTTTAGTGTAAAATATGTAAATAATTTTGTTTGATGCGCTGATCGGAGCGCATTTTTAAGAAATTGGAGCTAAATGCTTGAACGAAACTGATCAGATAACCTGATAGATTTTAAGATTTTATTTCTTTTTTAATTTTACAACTGGTTCGAAATCTTTGATTTAATAAATTGAAAAATTTCGACAAACTTAATAACGACGAGCCTTACAAAACCTTAACTAAACTATTAAAGGATTAAAAACTTTAAAAACCAAGTCATGAGCTTAAGCAGGCATTTACATAAATCAATCGAATCAAAAACATGAAAACTTCAAAAGAAATGTCAATTCTAAGAAGTGTACCTTTAAATTACTGCAAGTACTGGCACTTAAGTAAAGCTACAAGCATATGCCTTTAAAAACTTAAATTTACGACTAAACTTTACAATCGTGAATTAAAAGCTAATGATCTAGTAATACCTTCATGAATGAACCATTTCATAGTAAGTAATAGTAAGATTTTTGAAAGTATGAAAGGTTCTTGAAAGCTAAAAGCCTGCCTGAATACTAATTTTTTAAAATCGTATATAGTCAAGAGAGAAAAGGAAGGCTCATTAAGAATTCAAAAACAGTAAAAATAAACCTTGCATAAACATCATTTTATGTGTCACTAGTTTCATTTACAGTATGTTTGAATTTTTGACTAGTCAATGGAATGTTTTGAGGTTCATTAACTTTGGGGAGATCAGCATGAGATTTTATATTATGGACAGGATATGTTTGATTATTATTAAATTCCTCTGGAACTTCAAGGAAATTTCTATAGACGGAAATATTTTGTCTATTAATCCAGCAAAGAAGGATTTGGAAGTTAGACATGCAGTACTAAATGACTCATTGATCGACCTTCCGTCTAGTCTTTTCAAGATGAAGTCTTCATTACAATATAATAAGTTCTTCCCTTCAGAGAGAATGATGGAGATTTTGATAGAGTGCGATACAAATGGACTCTTAAACTTGGTGGATGGGATTTTATTGAATTACAAGCATGCGATAAAAATGTTGGATGACGAAATTTTTGTCTCTACATACAACCAAAATGGAATTAGTACACTACAATCAATGCTCAAAAGCACGGGAAACAGGAATATTAATTTAAAGGATGGTGGATTTTTTCTTATGGAAAAATCAATATGGTGTAGACAGACAGCAATAGCACGAGCAGATGATAATTATCTTTTCCAAATCAGTCCAAATGTTATCCAGAATAATATCATCACCAATGGCCTAGATTTTAATAGCATTAGGAATTCATTGGTATAAATTTTATTGGTATTCTGCTTTATTCTGTTAATCTGTCAAAGTATTTTTTTTTCTCTCTCTCTCTATTAAAATTTTGATATTCTGTATTATTCTATTTTGTTATTACAATCCAATAAAATGCGTTTATTACGCTTTTAAATGAAAAAAGAAAAAAAATTATCGGATATTGATGGTAATTCTAATGAATTATTTTGGCTCCATTTTCTCCACCTCAACTTAGATAAAAGTGAATAACTCCAAAAAAGACAAAAATTTCTAAGAAATGAAAGACAAAGTGAGTCCAACTTAAAATCCACATCTAAATGAATTCAAAACAGTCGCGACTCACTCTATAACATTTTAAAAATAGAAATATTCAAATAACAAAAAAATCATTTGGAGTAAAAAAAAAGTTCCACGTTGAAACACGATACATGCCACATATTTGATGCAAAATTTCAATTCTGTTGCAATCGCCCTAATGTTCCAATTTGATATCCTTTGAAGACTTCAATATATTGTCTGAAGCTGTAACAGCACGTAGGAATGTTTTTTAATATTGAACCAGCAATAAAATGTTTATTTTTTTTTTTGCTCAATCGAACAAATGTTTGTAGGCTAATGAGGAATATAACAGGCAGTCACAACATTCATAAATGTCTTAAAAAATTAAATGACTAACATTTAACAGTTTCTTGTCGCTCCTTTTTGTAAAGCATTTAAACACACGAAAAAAATGATAAATTTTTTATGACTTTATTTTTCTTCTTATTTAAAATAATCTTACAGTAAATTTTCGAGAATCTGTCGAATTATCTTGTTAGTGTCGAGCTCCTGCGGTAAAGATTGCTTAAACTTCTTAAAATCTACGTCATCGAAAAATTTAATCGGTAAAATTAGCTTTGCATAATTGCAACAATTATTGGAGTTTTGACCCTTTAACTTTATTGGAATCACAACTTTTCCTATTGAGTCTTTACAGCACGATTCAGTCGAACATAATGGCGGTAAAAGGTCAGTTTCGTCAATTGGCTGGATATAAGTGTTATTAGAAGTAGGAGGTGGAATGTAAGTGTTATCAGGTTCATTAGGAGGTAAGTATGTGTTATCAGGTTCTTCTGGGGGTAAGTAAGTGTTATCTGGTATCTCAGGAAGTGGATGTACAGGAATATTATCAGTTTCCTCTGGAACTGGATCTACAGGAATATTATCAGTTTCCTCTGGAACTGGATCTACAGGAATATTATCAGTTTCCTCTGGAACTGGGTCTATAGGAATATTATCAGGTTCGTCAGTTACTAAATCTACACTAGGGATTTCTTCTGAGGTTGAATCTACTGGAGGTAAGTAAGTATTTGTTGGATTTTGTGGGGGTAAGTATGTATTATTAGGCTTATCTGGGGTTAAGTATGTATTTGTGGGTTTTTCGGGTGGCAAATAAGTATTTTCAGGTTCCTCTGGAGGTAAGTAAGTATTTTCAGGTTCCTCTGGAGGTAAGTAAGAATTTTCTGGTTCAGCAGGTGGTAAATAAGTATTATCAGGCTGTTCCGGAGGTAAGTAAGTAATATCAGGCTTTTCTGGTGCTACAGAGCTACTATCAGGAGGCAAATAAGTGTTTGTGGGTTTCTCAGGGGCTAAGTAAGTGCTTTGAGGTGTTTGTGGACGATGTGCAATCATTAGAGGGGGTCGTGCTGTTGGAACGTGAATCATATTCGGCGCATAGATATTTGAGGGACCTGGATAGTTTGGAGGTGGAGTGTTATAAAAATATGTATCAGGTTTCACAGGTTTAAAAGTTACTGGAAGTTTTGCAGACTTGTCAAAGATTTTAAGCGAGCGGAGTCTCGATGAGTTGTCGATTTGAACGTCAATACCTTTACAGCCTTTAGGGAAAAAGTAGCGAACGTTTCTTGGTGCGTCATCGTCGTCATCAAAAGGACGGAAACCGAATTGTGCTTTTCTGGATTTGATTTGATAACAATTAGTTGTTGGTAAGTAGAGGAAGTCAGTTGGCACTCACCCTTCTGGAGCTCCGAATTTCGGATAAACAGTTATTTGATCTTCTGAAGTAACAAGTCTATAGCCTCTTGCATCGGCTACATACTGTGTCACATATTGTTTTCCTTCAACTTCATATCCATAACATCCAAGTCTAACGCCATCCTATAGTAAAGTATAAAGGAACATAATGTATTTAAATATATTCAAGACACAATGCATCGTAAACAATACGATTAGATCAATACACATGTCTCTTGTTCCTACTTTTTTGTTATGACAAGTTCATGAATAAGTTTTAAATCTATATTTAATAATCCAAAATTAACATTTCAAATCGCAGCTTATCTTCCATCATTAATCTGGTTCAATTTAAAAGATAATGTTTTTAACACGTGCATACATAAATGAGACGTTAAGATAAAGCATTCACACTTGATGGAGTTTTTATGTGATTTTTCACACTTACTATTGTTTCTTAAGCAGCATTAACAAACAAAATTTATAGACATAGAGTCTGATTCTCGGACGGAACAAAAAGATCTTGATCACATAAATGGGAATTTAGAAGTTATTCAATATAAATCATCGTGTGACATACCTTTTCGGTCGATGTATGATGGAAGTGTTTCCCACTTGCTTTCAGCTGATATCCATATTTATGCTTCTCTGTGCCTGGCACGACAGATTGATACCCGTGCTTGTCTTGCGAGAAGAAAAAAATATAATAATTTATATGAGAATCGTTGGCGTAATCATGATGGATATCTAGTAAATAATTAAATTAGGAATGACATCATCGATTGATGTCATAAAACGCATTTTTCCATTGAATCATCCTCACAATGTCAAGGTCATATTGAAAGTTAAATAATAATAAATTCCCGAAGATGGGCAACAACCGTTGCTTGATGTCATAAAAATTCGATCGGATATTTTGTAAGCAAAAAAAAATAACAAGTTGGATGACTTTTTTTTTCAGAGAGAAAGCTATTGACCCGCAAACATGTTTTTCTCTGTTTTTTGTTGCCGAAAATGATTGTGAACCGCAGGAATATCAATTTGAAAAGAATCGACAAAGGCATTTCCTTGAGATTTTAAGAATTCGGGTTTGAAAGAGTTGAAGATATTTTATTTTGGTGATGCACTCGAAGATGTATCGAGTTTCTTTGAGGTTTTTTTAGAGATATGATTTTTTTGGGTCGTTCACTTATAACGTACAGACTCGAGTGATAGAAAAGGAGATTGAGCAATCAGAAATTAGCTAATTGTAGTTTAAGGTCTGAAAGTGAAAAGATGCATAAAGCTACAGAAATAGACCATTGTTGTTTTTTCTCTAGATTCTTCTGATTTACATTGATTAAAGATACCTCCTATCCGCTCCTACATTATACTTTATGCTTCTACATACATTGAAAATCTTTAGTAAACATCCTCATAGAATGAAATCAAATAAACTAATTCTGATGCTTAATTTCAATCTCCGAACATTTCAATCTCAAGATTTTTCTGGATCACATGGATTAATTTCGATGATAATTTTTGCAAAAATATTTCAAAATAGCTCTTTGATAACTCTGTATAGTCAATATTGTTAAGCTAAAATATCAGGGTAACCTTTAGTTGATGTAGACAATTCAAATGCGATTGATGCCATTCACGAATTCGGAATTGGATTTGTTTACTCGATCAAAACTTTAACGGCCTGTTTCACTAAAGTAGATTATCCTCGATTTCGGATTATCCACTTCAGTATTTTGGAAATCTCTCCAGACGCTTAAGGTTATTAAGAGATCTAATGTGTGATCTAGTTAGAGTATTTTGCTACTTAAATTAACATAAACTTAGAATTTTTATATCTTCACTAGTTTGAGAATTATAGCAAAGATCAAAGTTGATCTACTAGATTTGGCAAGAAAATTGAATAATTAATACTTCTTAACGAATAGTAAAAGTTTAAAGTATACAGAAATTTCAGGCATACTTCACTCTATTATAATCCAAAATAAGAAATACCACACCTCCCATAAAGTTTAAGATATTAACCAGACTACCGCCATTTCGTTTCGGACTTCTTCGAAATTTATTTCGATTTCTTCGATATTAGAGCCGAAAATTCAAATTTAAAAAAACAGTTACATTATGTAAACAATAAATTATTTTAATTAATACCAATTCTGCACAAATCCCAAAGTTCTTCATAAATTATTAACTTTTTATTTTTTTTATCGATTCTCAACTTTATTAAGAATAAAATTTGAGCAAAATGAGTAAGTGCATGGTAAAATCTGGTTTAACCGTCAAAAATTTTTGAATATTATAACGGCCATAAAAAATTTGAATTTTTTTGAATATAAATTTAACGGATGTTATATGAAATGACGGTAGTCTGATATTAACAAAAAACTGAAGTGGATAATCCGAAATCGAGGATAATCCACTTTAGTGAAACAGGCCGTAAGATTTGAAGGATAAATTAATTTTCTGATGAAAAATGTGTAAATTTCACTTATCATTATCATAAATTTGGATAAATGTGGCAGGAATTAGATTCGTAGATCTAATATTTAAGCTTTACATTTTTTATGTCAATAAAGCTGAAGTTCCGTCCGTTTTTCACACATAATTTCACAGTTCGTTAAACAAACATTTTCTCTAAGCAATTAAGCACTTAAATCTTAAGATATACAGCCCATTGAGTGAGCATAGCACTATCATTATGTTAACACTCTTCACATTATCCAATTCGTATTCTTTTATGTACCTGGATGATTAAGTTGACTCGCATAAGACTGCGTCAGCTCTAAATTTCCATAAATTAATCCACACACATGACAGATGATGAACAAATAAATTATCCAATGATTTTTCATCTATAATAAAATAATTTACATAAAACAAATATTTATTTTGTCACTTATAGCTTAACGCAACCCACATTTATGTTGTTAGTATTGTCTATAATTAATATATATGAGTTCTTAGCTTCCTTCGAGTTATCACAATAGTTTATGAGATATTGTTAATAATGCACTTGGTTCACTTAATTCACTAGAAAAATTGTACCCCATTAATAAATTATTTTATTGTGTAGAAGGTCTACAATCTTTATTCCTTTCTGTTCTGCAGTGCTCCATTCGATTGACCAAAAAATACTGAAGAAATTAGCAATGTCAACATCAACTTTTATTTCGTTCTCTTCCCAGATTCAACGGTACAATAATTTTGTACATAAATAATGCCTTTGAGTCGACCAAAAAAATATATAAAAAAAAAATCGCCAAAAAGGCAAGAAAGAGAATCAGAGGTGCAGAGTTTGATGATATCTTTGCGACCATACTTTCTGGCGATCTATCCCGAGTAGCATCAGACAATGTTATTTTATTGATATTTGCTTCGTTGAGTTTTGGGTCGTGAAGATGATGCTAATGTCTTAGGAAGACTAAGTTATAATGACATTGTCACGATTCAATCACTAATGCCTTGATGATGAGGGTGATTTAAATGAAAATTTAAATAATTAAGAATTTTATCATAATTTCACTACCTTCATTAGGATAGATTCGGTATTAAAGTTCTGTGCTTTCATTCGAGTGTCAATCAACTCTCAATATTGAATTAATTGTAATTTTCAACAGATTTATGATATTTCAACGTTCGATTGATATTTGAATTTTTGCATCTCAGTAAACAATTTTTCTTAAAATTTTAAATCAGATCATTTTTAATCAAACTTTCAAAGAGAAAGCATCAAAACAGGTGAGTTTCATCTAATCCACAGAATTTTCATTCCAGCAACCATGTTAAGCTCGGGATTATGGTATTGGGCTGTAAATTGTATTAAGAAATTTGGTAATTTGAGTAAATATGTGGGATTTTTGACCAATAATTGGTTTTATTTGATAAATCAGACACAATAACCTGTTGACAAAATTTTTAATTGAATATTGTCTCGGACCGGACCTTCTAGTGATGCAAGCAATATCACTTAATTTGTTCACGCACTGTTTTGAAATGAGTATAGCTGCTCAACCAACAATATAAAGATTTGTGTTGATTTTTACTTTTCATGGCATAAATAAATTACACTTAGTAAATAAATTACCGGAATATGTAAATAAATAGACAACGACAATCTATTAAGGGCGAATTCACGTGAGAAAAATACGAAAAATGACGTCAGATCTACTCATCACCTCAAGTGATTATATTCTAATGTTTTGAGAAGCTACATGGTTAAAATTTTTATGATTATGTTTATATTTCGTAGATTTATATCCGCAAAATTATTCAAAAATAATTTCATTGAATTAATTATTTACATAAGATTACTTGCTTTAACAAGGCAATATTAATGAAATTAAGGCAATAAGAATGCTGACTTCAATAATATTACTTTATTTCACAGTCGTGCATGTCAATAGACTATAATCGCTCCAAAACATCCAATTTATACGAAAATATTTTGAATATACTTTCGCGTGTATATGCAGAAAGAAAAGTGATCAAGAACTTTGAATTGACCTGTTTCGAGGATGTTCTCCGTAAACCTGTTTGATATCTTTGTTTGTTGCCAAAAATTAAATTTCAATATCATCGAAAAAGAAATGAGAAATAACTGTTCTCATGTTGAGAATTTTAGTATAGGGTAAACCATGTTGAAATTTGTGCGCTCAAATTAAATGCAAATCATCATTAATAAGCCATTTATACTGAACATTTGTATGCTGTTCTATGTAAAATAGATGTCCAAATGTTTCTACCTCATTTAAGATGGTCTTGAAACCTTAGGCAGCTCTAAATTTGAAAAAATCAAAACCCCATACAAAATTTAAATTTTTATCTTTTAAATTTTTTGGACATAACAAGTGCTTCTAATTAGCATAAAAGCATAATTAGTATAATTGATTTTAAAATCACAAATTTTTAAATGTTGAAATTTGTGTAAAATATTTTGACAAATGTTAAACTTTGTGCGTTTTTCATCGTAGCAAAAATGGGTCATTATACATTTTGTCAACAATAAATATTATTTATGTATGAAATTCATGTTTTTAGAAGTACAAATGAGAAATAACATGATTGGAACTCCTCAAAGTTAAAAACCAAAAGTTAAAAAAATGCGTCTAGTTCAAAACTGTAGAAAATATTATGAAAGCTTCGAAACCTTCAAAAAAATTATTAATCTCGTCAAAGCATTCATATGTATGTCCTCTTTTTATTTCAATTATAGCGATAGAGATGAGAGGAGAGAGAGTCACCAATACCAATACAGATCAACAAAACGCATTTTTTGCAATATTTGAAATTAATTAAAGTAAGGCAACAATAAAGCATTTAAAGCTTATATATATATACATTTATTAGCAATTCTGAAGCTTGCACAAAGCAAAATAATTGCAAATTTCTTGATTTTTGGTGTTTTTGATGCATAATTGAGGCCAAAATATAATCTTTATTAAATTTAGAACACATTTTAGTAAATTTGCAAAAAGTTTACAAAATAAAAGTAAAGTTCATAGTTCTGGTGCATAACTGGACACATTTGAAGCATAAATGAACCTAAACAAGTGGTTTATATTATAAAAACATCATATTTATTCAATTTAACACGTGTATGAGTGGTTATCAAGACAATTCTTGGTTACACGGTCGTTTCATAACTTTCAGTGAATTAAATTACGGTAGACCAAGTGGATACAACCCTGTTTTAACACAAACAATCACCGTAATACAGAAATTTGATCCGAGCGTTGGTGACTTTAGACCAATTGCAATTCCAGTAACCCAAATTTTAGATCCATTTGGGGAAGTAAGTTTTCATTCTAATCAAATTAACGGAATCATTTCAGCCTTACCACTTACATTCCCACAATTCCCCCAAATCCAAGCGAACTTTACAAGCTATACCGCTACACAATTTAAGATCATTTTTAAAAAACATAATTTTACCAAATTTTTAAGGTATTGTTTTATTTTAACTTTTAATCTATGCACTTTACTATCTATCTGTATGAAATTTAAAAACTTGCAGGACGTTCGTGCTTTATGAATATTTTACTGTTTAATAGCTTAGTCAAAATTAATTAAGTTGAATCTTGTATCTTGCATGCATCTTAAGAAATCAATTAAAAACAGTCAACTGAGTAGTTCTTATTTGGTTTTAATTTGATTCAGATATTTTCCTTGCCACAAATCGCGATTTAAGTTCCAAAAAATTGTAAACAAAATGTTTGTTTACATTTGAGAATTGAAATTATGTCAAAGTTTGCTATCAAAAAAGTGCACAAATTTCAACATTTATTCAAACAAATTTACAAATTTTCCACACAAATTGATTGAATTTGAACAAAAATATCAAAATTCTCTTCCCATAAGCAGCACATCTTTCATAACATAATGTAAAATGAAAACTCCCACAAATTGTGATCTTTTAAGCTTATAATCAGATTTTCATAATCAGCCATTAAAAAGTTACATGTAAATCAAATCTTCATGTGCAAAAACACACAAATTTCAACATGGTTTACCCTAATAAAATAAAAATAAATTTTACAATATTTTATAAGACATCAAAGGAACAAACTAGTTTGTAAGTCATCCGTTACACTGACTTGCTCGGGTATATATGGCGCTTTTGTTTATTTAATGATCAGTTTATTGATTCTTGAAATAATTTGAGATTGACGATTGAACATAAATTGATGAGTTTTGTTTTGACAATGCTAGGAAGAAATTGGAGGTTTAAGTAATTTAAGACTGTAGTTTTATGCATTATTTACTGAATCAAGCAATACCGTCATGAATGCGTACGTTTTACTACCTAAGGCTTGTCATAGCTGTCCATTTTTGCTTTGGCAGAACTATTTAAAAGACATAAAATCATTTTTGGAGTTCATTACTCATAGTATTTTACAATAAGTCCAATTTTACAGCTTTTTGAGTAATAAGATTTAAAGGAATTGTTGAAGTTACTTGAATCAGTAATCATTAGGGATAGTCTGCTAATTTGTAAACGAATGCATCCAAATTCTTCTGAATTCGGATATTTGTTAAACTTTTCTTATATTGCTAGGAAATATCCCAGCAGAGATCATAGCTTATTATTATAGATATGTAAAGTCCCAAAATGACTTAAAAGTTCATCACTCAAAAGGGAAAATGGGCTATAGCTACGTTCAACGAACTTTTATCATTTCGAATTCAAACTTAAAATATTTTAAAGATGCTGTTTTGTTTTCTGAATTCAGTTCATCTTCTTCCACTTGTCCATCGGTTGAATCTTTATGCAAAATATTTGTATTAATTTATGGATATAATATCTCAATGGACTCATTTTGATAAAAATATAAATTGTCATAGTGCTACTTACTATTATAAAATTCAAATTTTTAAACAAACAATAACGCAACATTTACATTTTGGATGTCTCTCGGTCGATCTTGTTTAATCAATTGAGAAAAAAAGGAAATTATGTCTACAAAAAAATTAAAATTGGATTAATATAATATTTTTCGGTCGTTTCGATCTTTAAAGGTCTATGCGAAATCATCGATGTTGCAAAAATTGTTCATTTAAAAATGAAAAATTATAATGTCATAAAAATGAAGATCACATTTTGGATATATTTAAATAGCTTTTATTATACATCAAATATGAACAGAATTTTAATAGGTTTGATCATTTATTTGGAGTAGATTCAACTTGATGTTCATATTTGTTGTAAGCGCACACTTAAAAAATAAACAGCATGAGATCTTTGCGTAGTTGGTAGACATTGTCGCATATTCTTTGACATTTATTGGTTCATAATTTTAATAAATTTATTGATTACACTTTAAAATTTGAAGGTCGGGGAAAATTAAGATGTGAACAGTGAGGGGTAGAGTCATAAATTAAAGCACAAAATATCAATGCTGATGCGAATTTGCGGAAATATTTGTAAGCAGATAAACTAGATTCCATCGATGAAATTGCTTTAAATTTGTGATCTCTTCTCAAGTTTTTTTTTCTTCAACACGTTCATGACTAGCTTTAAAATTAATTTTTTTGCCAAGCTCAAAGAAAGATGAACTTACTGGTTTGGTCAGGTGATTTGATAAAATTTATAGGAACTGCGATGAATCTTTGATTTTTTTGGCACTACATTAGAAATCAATCTGTCGATAAATGGAAATTAAAGCTGGCAGATAATAGCATAATTTCAAGCTTCGATTTGCCAAAATGCGCTTAAAATATGAATAAATTATACAGCTCAATAACACAGTGCAGAAACTAGTTAACTTAATTTTTTTTTCTCGTATCTTATCAGAATATCAATAAATTGACTTTAAATCTCTTCATTATATGAGTCAAAAATAGTTTCAATAGATGCCTTGATTTTGTATTAAGCTATTGTGTTTGGATTTATGATATAATAAGAGACATTAGGCTTAAGATTGATAGTTAAGATGATCTGATCTAAGAGATCAGATTTATTAATCAAATCTCTATTCTGGATGTTGATATTTTGACAAGTTTGTGTTAATCTGTTTATTTTTGAGTTTCCTTCATAATTATGCTGTTTAGGAAAAGAAGTCTTATTTTGATTGATTTAAGCAACGAAATTCTCAAAAAAGATGTTATTAAGTCTAAAGTTGAAACAAAAATGTTTTGTTAATGAATTCGCTTCTTGGTAGGAAAATATTTTGAACTTCCACACTTGGTAAACGATAGCTTACATTTTGTGACCATGACAAATCAAGCATCAGATGCTACTTCACGTAATCTCTTATATAGACGGATATATCTCAGACTTCAACATAGCTTACTATTGAATGATATTTCAACAATATTATTAAAGGAGAAAATGATGTAAGATAGCTTATAGTCCTTGTTGAAATTTGTCAGCATTAATCTATTTAAAATGCATTCGTTCTTGAAAAATCTTTAGTGTGATATGTAAAAAATTAAAATAGACTTTTCGTTTTATATGGATTTATATTAAACAGTTTCGACTAAAATACAATAAATGAATAATTTTGAAAATATCCAGTGCCACAATCAACATTGATCTGCAAAATATCTCTAAATTGAAGATACATAAAAAAATATCAACGAGATCACATTGACAGAAGAAAAAGAAGATAATTAAGTAAGGTAATCATTTCCATCATTGTCACTTGAACTTTCCAAATCAGCCTCTTCATTTGGATTTCTTTCCATTACCCGAATATCACTCAAAAAGTCTCTCATAGCATCAACAATTGAATTAAGAGAGATTCGCAGGTCGGGTATTGGATTTGGTACTTCATGTTGATGACCTCCTCCCGCAGCTTCATTCAATTCTATTGCATTTTCTTCATTCTGTGCTGCATTTTGTGGTTGTGAAGGAAGATTAAAGCTCGGCAGTAAGGATTGAAAGAACAATTGGAATCCATTAGCTTGTTGACGCGCGAGATTGTTGTGGCTTACAGGCTTAGGTCGTTCATAAATATTAATCGAGTCGATTGGTGGAAGTGGATCAAAATGAACAATTGGGTCTGTTTCTTTTTTCAAAAAATCAGCAATAGGAACTTTTTCTTTGAAATCAGATAGAATGACGTGTCTTAAAATATTTCTTGGTGGATGTGGATATCGTGTACTTCTCTTTGTAGCATATTCTGCAAACTTTTCATCCTTTTTATCAACACGGTCGAGTACAACGTGTACATTTCTTTCCAACCACATTAGAATTTCGGGATCACCTGTCCATAAAATCTTGCATCGCTGAATATACAGAGACATAAGCTGTTGAAGCGCAAGTGGACAGCTTGTAACAGCAGCATGTCCAAAATATTTATGTGACGTTACACGAGAATCAGCTTGAATTCCCAATTCATCAAGTAAAAGTTTCAAAATTCCAGGAAACATACTTAATGCATATTGAATGGCTTCGTCAGAGTCGTCCATTTTATTAGAATGATATAAAGCTAAGGCATAAGAATATGCCATGTTAGGAAGAAGTGCCAAATTACGGCTACTTTGCCAATCTTGATAAAGATTAATAATAAAATCATATTGCTTTGATCGAATTGAATAGAAATCAATTAACAGAATTACAGCTAAGGGATCATTAATTGGATCAAGTGATAGAATCAACTTTGTTAGTTCCAAAGCTGTTCTCGAACAAGCTCTACTCGCCAAAAACTGAGCATGTTTGAATAAAACAATGAAAAAACCACGATTTTCTTGTCTTCTATAATCCAATCGACTATTTCCATTAGTAAGATTAAACATAGAATGAAAAGCCGACTCGTAAGCATATAAAGCATGTTCAATAAGCTCTGCTGCCATCGAATTATCTTCAGACATTTTACACAATTCTGATAACTGAATTAAAGCCTGTATGATGGGAATTATAGGTTTTTAAAAATGTGATAAAATAAATTTAATTAAATAGAGATTTTAATCTTACGTCGATATGATATGGCTGCATGTTGATTATTTTCACAATATTATCACTATCAATGCTCTCAACGCTTTCCAAAAACTTGCGCTGAATAGTCTGATAACTCTGAGCTATAAATCATTATTTAAACAAAAATCAATTAATTTTATGGACGAGATAGAGCATAAGCATATAGAACTTACAGTGCTCAAACGAGAAGAAAATGACATTTTTCTCGTTTTTCGTTGGAGAAATATCAGGGGCTGGTACAATGTTCATAAATAATCCAGTTCTGTTAATTTGAGGCCAACTTTCTTTTGGATTTGACATATAAACTGATTTAAGAGATCTGAAGGTTCCGCCTCCTGCACGACGTTTCTTCTGTTGTTCTTGATTGACAATTTTACCAAACATTCGCTTCATTTCAACTTGTGGATTTAAATTCTTGTATTGAATATACAGGACACTATTCCTTTGTTCATCAATTTCCTGTTGTGTTGCTGTGTTCTGCTGTGGCTGTACATGATGAGAATGAGTGGATGTTCCAAACATCTTATCGACCATTCGTACAGTTCTAGTGATTTCATCCTCATGTTCATCATTTTCTTGATCTTCGCTGCTCATCTTTTGTTTATGTCCAGTTCGTTTCTTTTTCTTGTTCTTACGCTTTTTCTTACATGCATCTTTTTGATGACTTATTGATAAGTTTTCCATTTCCGTTGTTTCGTTATCATCTTCTCGTTCGCTGAGTGATAGCTGAAATGTCATTAAATAATTTTATTTATGCTTAATAGTCATGACAACTCTTCAAATCTCATGGAGAAATAATCGATGGTTGATGACGCAGTTTACTTTACGTATAGGTATGCAAATGTTAAGATTTCAGTGCCATTTTAAGGTTTTCAATATATTTTGCAAAATAACTTACCAATTCGAAATTATTAGAAGCTTTTCTCGGCGTTGCCAGCTGTTCACTCTCTTCTGAATCATCTGTAATCTGATTCAGCAAATCCGGTGTTTGCAATTTTTTAATATTCCTCAAAGACATGTTTTTTCTTCACTTTTAAGCAAAAAGAAAATCGCAAGTGCAAATTTCAAAATAAATATATTTATGCAGTGAATTCACAATTGATTTGACAATAGATGTGTTACCAACAAATTGACATACAAAAATAAAGCATTTAAAGTATTTTTTGTGGTTTATTTAATATTCACTTTTTTTTTCGTTTAAATATTTTGACATTTTTCTTTATATTCACACCGTAATTGCGAGCGACTGTATTGCTTTGGTTCAGATTGAAGAATCAGTTTTAAGAACTTTGCGAGGAAATGGAGCAAGGGAGCTGAAAATGTCAAATGGATGTTCAAAGAATATTTGGTGTATCCATCTATATTTAAACCTTTAAAGACATGCTGAGCAAAGCTTGATCTATCCACAAGACTTTTCACTGTACGGTGTGAATATGTCCGTAATGGGTTCCTAATCAAAACTTTAGTTTTGCATTGATATTAGTATTGTTGCTTTTCAGCTGGCCAATTTTTTGAATCTCTTATAGTCGTTATCAATTTTGACTTATCAGCCGTACCCAACAGTGTTCTAATCAATATAAGCTAGAGTTCCTGAATATTTCCAAAAAATAACAAAGCTTGAATTTGTTTCAAAAATTCATCTTTTTATTCCTTTCTATCGAATTTTAAAAAATGATTTCTCGCAAGTTTTTCTCAATATTGACATTAAATTGTTATCCACAGTAACTTAGAGCTTATGCATAGTTTAAGGAAAAATTGTATAAATGATTAATTTAAGCACTATGAATGCGTGACTTTATTAATATTAATCTTGTTCTAATATTAAATTATAAAAATGTGTATATCGATTCAGTTACAAGCTTCATTCCATTCGTCGCAAATTTCACTTTCTTCTTCTTATTCTTATACTTTATTCATCATTTAAGAGATTAGTCTGATGGAATATAAATATTCATTATCAAAACTTTGGTTTATGCATTTTTGTGACTTAAAAGCCACCAAATGAAGTCTCATCATTTCGACCGAATTTATAGATTAGTGATGCAAAGAGAATGAAGAAGTTTTGGAGCACAATACCGATTCCTTGGATATGAGACTTGTCGGTAAATTCTGAGATCAACAACCAGACACTAGCGATAACTGAGGCAAATCCAAGGACGAAGCCTGTGAACAGCCAAATTTTTATTCCATTACTTCCACAAATTCCTCCTTCATAGCCCGTTCCATTGAGCATGTCGTTCGATACGGCTAAATTAAACATACGAATTTAGATTTATGTATACTGATATGATACAAGCTTGTGACTTACTATTGACCATAATGAAGGATATTGTCCCTAAAATACCACAAATATAGTACGAAAAATCTGGTGCTGTTCCATCTTTACTGGTTGATGCAATTCCTATCACAATCCACCATGCAAGAAAAAACTATGGAACCAAAACAAAGGGATATAAAGGCACAGACATAAAGAATCGCAGTCAATGAATCATCAAAATAAATATAAGACATACCAAAATTGATGATACAACAGCTGACAGAAGATTCCTTCTGGATATAACATTAACATCGAACCACATACACATTTGGAAACTCTCCAATATATTCGGCATTGTGAAATGTAATTTAATTAAATCTGCGACTTGTTATGAAAATTTTTCAATGTTTTGTTTTTGTTAATCGCTGTTTTCACTTGATTATCTTATCTTTTCTCGTGATAAGTTGATTCCACTATATTTGATCCACAATTATATGCACTCACAGCTTATACAATGTCCCGAATTTCTTAATTAAATGAGTTAAATTCTCATTATTTCAAAATTTTAATTTTTTTTGCAAAATAAAAAAATTGGAACAATACTGACTCTGGATTTGCCTTGATTATTTTCGCACGGACCTGCCTCAAAAATATTATACTGTCTCGGTAAAATTTAAATAATTTTGAAAACCGTTACAGTCAATTCCGCAAATTAATTTGAAAAGTTCCTGACTTACGTTTGGATTTGATTTGTTTATCAACATTCAAAATATTGAAGATTCATTCTTTAAAATCACATAAAAAGTATTAATTTTTGCAAAATGTTGTCGTCTATGATTAAGCATCATCAAGAGCAAATGAAAGGAAGGAATGAGACACAAGATAAGCTTAAAAAAGAGACAATAGAAGCTAGTAATGAACTTACAGCTAGTTTGGTAATTAAAAAATTGATAAAATTTTTAAAAACCTTTGTTTCTGACACTTTAAATATGGCACGAGCATTTAAAGTAAGCTTGTGCTGCATGCAAATTAGTTCCATGTCAGATACTTTATAATAAGTCGTGAAAATTGAACAATTTTTTTTTTGTATCACAAAAAATTATCTTTAATTACATACTGAAAGTGTTCTATAACAGATATTCTATCATATTTTGATCAATCGCCGTCATGATTTGTAGAATGAATAGCTTAAAATGTGATTTCATGAAAACATCCAGTGGATTTGTATATTTACATATTAGTCATGTAATGATTAGGAAAATTCAGTTCAGTGACTTTAAGAGGCATTTATTGGGAATTACTCAGAATGCTGATAATGTATTATTTGTGCTGGAAAAGCCTTGAGTGGCGAAAAAAATTCCTAAGTTGTATTCTCAAGAAGAATAGAATATCAATCCTTTAATTGGAAGACTGTTCATGTTGTATTGGCATTAGTTCGAATAAGGATAGCTCTTTTTCTATGATCCTTCAACTTTTGACTCAATTGAATTTAAATTCAGCATAATTAGAACAGTCACATCTATGACACGTCCAATACGGCTTAACAACTTCAATAAAAGACTAAAACACCAACACTCCCTGTATTAAGTAATAAAAAAACTCTCAAAACCAATTTGAAGAACGTAAAGCACATCTATTAATAATTTTCAAGTAAGGCAATCAAGTTTCAAGTCATAAAAAGTTTAGTGAGTCACATTTTAGTGATCATTAAGCTAAACTTTATCCAAAAGAAACAAATATCCAATTGATATTTAATTTGAAGCTGTTTCAGTACGCTGTCAAGTGATCAAATCAATAAAAAGTCATTTATTTCTATAAATCTGTCAATTATTGCATCTAATTGCATATTTTAAACTATTCCTATCTATGATCAATGCAAGATGCATCACTTCCTATCAATCAAAAGCTATTACTTCATACCTCTTTCACTACTGCCTGAAATAGACGTTATTTCTGTTAAATGAAAAAGCATTCATTCTGTAGCTAATTTATTATTAAATTAGAATCAATTTATCTCGATTGTTTTTCTTGTTGTATGCTTCGAGTGCCTATTAAAATAACGAATTTTAAAATTTCGAAACTTCATTTTTACGAACACTTCATTTTTACGACCATATCATTTTTACGAAAAATTATTTTTTCGACTTTTTTTATAAAATTCAAATTCTGAAATGTCGTTAATTTCATCACGTGTTCTCTTCAATAATAAATCTGCAAAAATAAGATTAATAGAACAAATGTTTTTAAATGTATGGAATAAAAACGTATTTTTTTTTTTCAATATCACATTTGATGTGTATGTTTAAAGGAAAGAATTTGTGTCTTGGATATTGACAAATATTTGGCTGGAAAGCCACAAAAGCATAGAATGCCAGGTTTTGAAAAGACAGAGCATTTCATTAAATCAATCCTGAACCGTCGAAAATCCGTGCCACGAGTTGAAACATTAAAGGCTATTGCAGGAGTCAAAAATGATTTAAGAGCTTAATTGTGTTTGTTACTCCTTTAAACATACACATGTAGTCCATAAAATGTGATATTGAAATAAAAAATACGTTTTAATTCTGTACATTTAAAAACATTTGTTCTATTAATCTTGTTTTCTGCAGATTTATTATTAAAGAGAACACGTGATGAAATTAACGACATTTCAGAATTTAAAATTTATAAAAAAGTCGAAAAAATAATTTTTCGTAAAAATGATATGGTCGTAAAAATGTGAGTTCGTAAAAATGAAGTTTCGAAATTTTAAAATTCGTTATTTTAATAGGCACTCGTATGCTTCGTATGTAGCCAAAGACTTTGTGTATTTATTTTTTCATTAACGAGTGTCATATATTTTTATATTTATTCCGACCTTGGCAATGATTTGAATTCAATTGTGTTAGTTTCTGTAGAGTCGAGATCATAAAAATGTTTTGTGAATGACTTCGGAGTCATTTACTTGTAACGTGCTGCAAAATGTTAATTTTTGGTTTTTAACGGTTTTAAAAGATTCAAGTTTAAAACTTCGCGAAAATTTTGAATTCGCTCTGAAATAAATTTGAATTTTAAGTAACCGTTAAATTTTGAATTTCAAATGATCGTTGAAACTTATTATTTTTTTGCTTCTCTAGACATCACTTCTTAACGTGCTCAACAGACTTAATCATTAATAATTTCCCACGACTATTTTCGAAACTTAAAAAATCATCAACTTTGTGCATGAAAAATGTCAACATCCAGTAATTAATGCTTTACAATTCCCTTTCTATCTCATTCATTCCACAAAAGGTCGAGCACTTAAACGTCGGAGTAGCAACAGCATACCTCAATCAAAAACGACTTGATTCAGAGGCAAAGAATCTTCATGTAGCAGCAAATAACTTTAGCAAGCAAACACAACAGTGGCTGACATTAATCGAGAATTTCAGCAGTGCACTAAAGGAGTTGGGCGATGTTGAAAATTGGGCAAAAACAATCGAAAAAGACATGAGAAGTATAACAGCAGCACTTGAAATTGCTTATAAAATTGAACGCGAATGAATTTGAACAATTTCCATATAATTGCGATTATTTTTATAGAACCTTTATGGCCCTCTTTATCGCTGTTGTTTTTTTGTCAATTTTATTTTTATGACATTCCGCGCAATACATCCATCCGCGCCTTATTTGTTTTCCTTTACAACTTTTTATTTTATTGCAACTCAGACTATTTGTAATAAAGGTATGGAAATCATGTGTAATGGTGTAACAAAATTGTGAATTCCCTCGTGTTTTGCTAGAATATATAGATAGATCATGAATCTAAAGCTGGAATTATAAATCAAGTAAAAGATAATGACATGTTATGTGTGCATGAGAATTAGCCGTGTTAATATTTTACTGATATTTAAGATATATAGGAACAACTTCTCTGTCGCCTTTTGTAAAGCTTGTGATGTTCGATTGAGAATCAGGGGACGCTTGGCTTTAATGAATAACTTAACTGAATAATAGAATTTAAGTTTTAAACAGATTTTTAATTTAAAATTTCAATTTTAACGGCTTTTAAAATTTGAATTTTCGCATCCCTAAGAATTTTTTAAATTCGCCTTTGCATCTCTTAACAGTTTGAGCGTGGCTTTCACCAAGTCCATATCGCAGAAAGTAAGTATAGCTCATTAGTATTCAATATAACTTGTCAAATGTTCTTGTAATCAAAATCCATTACACAATGATTCAGAATCGGAAAAAATGTTCAAAAATTCAAAAATAACATATTAATTAAACTTCATCTTTTAAATGCCAGATTAAAGATCTTAACTTGAGGCATGTCCTATGAAAATATCTCGTCCCAATTTGATGTCTAACTCCAGAAATCATTAATTTAATCTCACCCAAAATTTGTTTACAATTTGAGTATGAAAAAAGAAATATGATTTTTTCTACTTTAAGTTGTTATTTGGATGTCTTGGAAGCAGTTGCTAGCTAATTTAAGCTTAGCTTTACACATTAAAACAACCAACTCAATAGAAATCTGCTTATTAAGCCTTAAAAATGGAATTGAAATCTGAGTATTTTTACAAAACTTAAACTATTCATAAGTTAAAAAGTCTTCCAAAGACCTCTCTGAAACCTATACAAATCAATTAATTAAGCTTAATTCTATCTCCCATACAACTGGGGACATGCCGTTTGATGCTGATTTTTTGAGCAATGAACGAAAACATTATCTAGAAGATGCTAAAAGATTCAAATCAAGAGAAATTAACAAAAACTTTCAATTTTCTAATGTGTCGGAAAAGTATTGTGCACAAGGAATTTTTGAACATTTTTTCCGAATCTGAATCATTGTGCATTAGCTAATCGATAAGGCGCAATAAAAAATATCGATTAAATATAAAATTATCAATTGTTGGTGAATTTTTTTTCCTAATTAAATTAAGTGGCTGTAGAAAATTGCTTCAAACTCAAATACCCCCTAGAGAGCGCAAAAACAAAACAAAAGCATGTTCAACTATTAAAAGAGAAAATTTAAATACAATAAAGAGTGAATAAATTGAAATTAATTGATGAACGGCTACAAGCTACTCCTTTTTATCAATTCCAAAAATATCACAAAGTGTGGAATCAATTATAAATATATGTTTACATTGGTCGAAAATTGCTGAGCAATTCGAGTCATCTTGTTGATTATTTGGGTCAACATAAGACGTAGTTTTTAATATTGAATATTTCGTTATGCTTAGATTCATAAATAATGTCTAGATTTCGGTAAGAGGTAGAAGATCGAGAGTTATGACACTAAATTCTGTGAATGACCCTTGAGGTGAATAACATTTTACATTAATCGTTGCCATTAAATTTAAAATTATGGCTTAATACTTTCAATTAATCTTTTGTCATCGACTTAAATTAATAATCTTGCCTTTAGTCATCTTGTCAGAACACGTCAAAACGTTTGTCATGATTTAAATAAGCTTTAAGAATTGTATTACATCCCGAAATGGCTAGAACCTGTTTCAACATATGGATACCGAATGTTGCTAACGAAAGGAAAAGTTTGTTAAATATTCTGTTCAGGTAATCGAAGATCCGAATAAAAAATAAAATTGGGAAGTTTCAATGTTCAATTTTAGTTGAGTTTAAATGTCTTACAAGAGGCGTGGTTCAAATTTTTTCAATAAATGGGTTTGATTAATTTTAGTGTTGCTTGCTAAAATTTCAAAACTTTACAAATCAGTGGAAAGTCATCAACAAAATCTTTTTACAAATCAGGGGAAAGTCATCAACAAAATTTCTTCACAAATCAGTGGAAAGTCATCAACAAAAATCAACATTATAAGTAATCAATGGATTGATTGTGGTCCATGCCCTGTCATCTTTCTGTATTGAAATGATTTTGCCTATAACAATTGCAAATCTATCTATCAGCAAAATGCCATCAAAATCAAAATTTATCGACCTATTTCCCATAAGAAAAATATGCCAAACAAGTAATCACTTTTTTTTATTTCCTGATTGAATCTTATCGAACGCATGTATCACAAATCGATCAGTACTAGTTTATTTACCTATTTTTTTTTTCCTTCATAATTATAACAAAACAAAGGTGTTCTAAATAGGTCGCAAGCAACGATACTGATATCACTTCGATGTCTTATCAATAAATTGCGAGCCAGCCTTTTCGTAAAGCATTATCTACCTGCAGAATTAAATGAAAAGTGAGAGGCACAAGGTGTAAATTTAAATCACTTATCAATAAAAATTTCTACGGACGGAGAAGCTTCAAAGATATTATGTCGTGAAAAACATTAAGGAGAATATTTAAAAAATATTCCAAATTACTACGAACATGTGATCGTGTGCATTTATATATATTTTTTCTCCTCTCCCTAACAATAAAAACTTTTTTTTTCTGTTGGAGTTTCAGTTCATAATAAACACTTGGCACGAATGCAAGCGTAAAAAAGAAGTTTTGTGAGAGTGCAAAAAATTCTTGGCAAGCATTAAAAAATAAAACAAGAAAAGAAATTAGTTGCATTGCAGAGGAGACCAGGAAATAAAGGAGAAAAAGAGTTTATTGACTAGATTTAATGAGTGTGTCGTGAATAGCTTTTTTAGAAGTACAGTTAGATAATAATGCCTTACGTTGTTCAAAAATCTTCATGCGAAGTGGCTGTGTTCCTTATTGGAATATGCCTATTCATATTCTTTGCCGGCTTTGCTGTTTACATCTATTTCCATTACAGCAGTCGAAGTACATATGAAAAATCAATCATGTAAGTACTAAGTGACACTAAAGTTAAAAAATCCAGTGTAGCCTGCATTCGGTGATAAGCTGGATTTTTTATCTTCTTAGAGAAATGTGTCTTATGAAGTAGATGTCAAGGCACAAGGTCTACAAGCAAGGGTGTGGAACTGAAAAATTACATTTTGATTTATTTTGATCATTTTTGATAATTTTTTGATCATTTCATCAGTACCACACCCTTGTCTAGAAGACGTCTCTCCAATGATTAAAAAATAATTTACAGTAGTGTGTCGCTCGGGAGTGATTAATATTCATGTGACAAATTTAATTTTTATTCTATCCAGTGATGCACTATTAAGAACGGAAGATGACGTCACAATTAGAAGACTCATCAGAACATGATGCCTAAGCATGATCAAAATTAGTGAAATTCCTTCATGCATTTCAAATTTTTTTAAATCAAAATTAAACTTCATTTTCTCAATAATGACGCCTGTCAATCGCAGACTACATACAACACATGTCGCAGCAAAAAATTTTTTTGTTTTCAATTTCTGGATTCATAAAAAAAGTGTAGATAAGAAAAACCTTAAAAGAAGTGTGAATCATGAAGAAATTTATAAACAATGAACAATCAGGAACAATCATTAAAAAGTTATCGTAAATTCTGATACATAGACGTTAAACTAGTGAACATTTAAACATTTTTTTACTGAACACACTTACAACCGTCTACAAATTCCGTGTCGCATAGCTCGACTCGTGAATATTTGAAAAGTTTTCGATGTGACTTAATATTCGCATGTTTGCAGTCAGCTGTGAATGTTCTTTTCTCTCAACATTACGGGAAAAAAAGTGAAATTTACAAACTCAACTTATTGATTGACAGTATTAAATTATTTCCCATATGATTATACACAAAAATTGGGTCATAAATGTGACATTGAGTGCTGTAATTGTTGCGACATGTTTTGTCGGTGATAAAAAATTACACGCAATTAATGAGAAGCAAATTGTTCGTGCTATTTTTGATAATGTGACTCACGGATTAGTTGGATTATTTGCGTGTGCAATTGCATTCGTCGATAATTGGGATAAGATGTATATGGCACTTATTTGTATGTTCATCTCGTCTGCTATAGATCTTGATCACTTTATTGCTGCTAAATCGTTTCGATTATCGGTAAGCAAATGTTTACTTTTATTGCTTTTTGTACATAAACTTTATTAATATTTAAATAATTTGTTTGTTTTGTTATCAATGTTTACTTGATCATATGATTTTGTTGTGGAATATCTTATTGATTTACTTTAAACTTTGAACCTGAAGATTTATTTTCAATTCATAGCTGGATCTGAGGATTTAGTGAATTATTTCATTCATCAATTAATGATTACCTTTTAAGAACTAAATCAATAAGTTTGAACTAGAACTAGGAAGTCGCAATGTTAGATGAATGCGACCTGAAATTGAAGTTCCTAAAGTTGTGCCTTTCTCTGCTTTTTTATTATCTAGAAGTTTACTTCTTAAAGCTTAACCCATCAAGATTTATATTTAATTCCTACAAAGTGCATCCTAAGATACAATTCATATTCAGTTTGCAAACAAAGCCATAAATCAAACAGAACAAATCAGAACAAATTGTTAATTGATTCAGAATTGTCAACAACATATGTTTCTTCCATATTTAAGCCCTTACTTAATCTACTGATTACTAATGTTAATGCTATCTAAAATTTCAATTTTTTCTGTCATTTTAGGAAGCCACGAATCTTCAGTCAAGACCCTTTCTACACAACTCTCTGATACCTTTAATATTTATCATACTATTAGTAACCTGCCACTTAAGTTCACAAAATGATTATGTGATAATGATACTGACTGTGTTAAGCATAGCTTTTTCTACACATCACATTCGAGATGCAAACAGGAGAGGATTATTATTCGCGCCATTTTTTCAGATGCCACCCATTCCATATTTCCTGTATATTGGATTAACTCTGCTCATTCCGTTCATATTTAAAGCTTTCATTATCAGTGAATTTAAGTATACTCGCTTGAATATGTCTTCGATGATAATAGATATCTAGTTATAATGATAATAATAAATTAAGGGGATCGTTCATAAATGATGTTCAACTTTTGAAATTTTTTGATATGTCCTCAAGAGAGGAAAAGGTCTGAAAATTCTACAGATTTTGATGAACGTCATTTATAAACGACCCCTAAGTCTAGGATTATAAACGTCTTGTGATAAATACTATAAAAAATTATTTTTTTAATTATACTGAAAAGCACTAAGAACGTTAAGATGCAATAAATTATATTTTATAATAAAAAATTAAATGAAGATTTTGTTTATAGCAAAACATTTCTTTTCGACTTGTTAGAAGATTCCACATATTTTCTTTCATATCACGCGTGTGATCAAGATTGGTGCTTGCTAAGTTCCGTTTCATAATATATTTTGAGATAAGACATATCAATTTAAAGAGCTTTGGCAATGAGATGTTTTTGCGAAATTTAAAAGTAATAATTAGCTTTAAGTGTGTCAAGACAACGAATTGAAAAGTATTGAACGGCTTAAGTACCATAAATATTTTCAGAATTGGAATTGAATCAATGCTTTTGCTATTTTAAAATTTAAGGTCATTTCAGGATTTTGTTGTTATTAATCAAATATCAGCCTGATGGGATTTTATGTCTTTATACACAAAATGTTCTATCGGTCATGTAAAGGTGTAATTGAATCGCAGTGTCTCCAGCTAAAAGGCTGGGCTTTAACACATTATTATTATTACTTGTATAAATGTGCCCTTAAGTATTCACAATGATTCATATTCGAAAAAAATGTTCTAAAATTCCTTGTGCACAATATTTTTCCGACACGTTAGAAAATTGAAATTTTTTGGTTAATTTCTCTTGATTTGATTCTTTTAGCATCTTCTACATAATGTTTTCATTCATTGTTCAAAAAATCAGTCCTTTATATGAAGGATAAACATGATTTTTTAACAAAAGATTGTAAAAGTTTATCAAAAAATATTGTGCATGATCAAATTTTGTATGAAAATTTATTTAGACTTTGATCGCAAATATCTCAAAAACGGCATGTCCCCACTAATTACAAGATGTATTAAAGCTTAATCAATCGATTTATATAGATTTCAGAGAGGTCTTTGGAAGACTTTTTAACTTACGAAAAGTTTAATTTTTGTAAAAATACTCAGATTTCAATTGCATTTTTAAGACTTAATCAGCAGTTTTCTTTTGATTTGGTAGTTTTAATATGCAGATCTAAGCTTAATTTAGCTAACAACAGCTAGCAAGATAAGGAAATAACAACTAAAAGTAGAGAAAATCGAAGTTTTTTTTTTCATATACAAAATGTAAACAAATTTTTGTTGAAAATAAATTAAAGATTTCTGGAGTTAGACATCAAATTGAAACGAGATATTTTCACTGAATATGCCTTAAGTTAAGATCTTTAATCTGGCATTTAAAAGATGTAGTTTAATTAATATATTATTTTTGAATTTTTGAACATTTTTTCCGAATCTGAATCATTGTGGTATTGATTTATCAATTTTTGGGAAAGAACAAAGTTCTTGATCTTAATGACAATTGACTCATGAGAAAGTGTCTTGAAAGTGGGTAAATCAATTTTTGTCTGTAGTTGTCAGCAGCTAGATAAATTGAATGAAATAAAACTTTAAAAGCAGATCCTCTACGATACCAGCATATTTACTAGACATAACCATCCTCGGTTTTTTGTTTCAGAAAACTCCAATTTAACTCAAGGATCTGAAGTAATTCTACCATATCAGTTACAATGTAAAGTAAATTAATGACTTAATAGACTTAAGTACATGAACAATTATTTATTAATTTATCCACACAATGGCTTCACATCAAAACAAGGTAATTCCCATTTCTTTGAAGTTAAGTTGTACTTTACAATAAAGAAGGTCGGAACTACTTCTTTTGAAGGTTTTAAGCTGTTTGAATATGTAAAGCTTTTCATTTTCATGATGTCTGAAGATTTAACTCTAATAATTTAATTAACTTCTATTGAGCATGCAAGCCATAACGCTTTTTGGATCAACTTGAATTTTTTGATCTATAACCTCAAATTCTGGCTGCACCTCTGTTGCAATCAGACTATTAGAGTAACAAATTGTTTGTTCTGATTCACAAAATCTGCAATTTCCTCCAAAACGATAACAATAGGAAATTAATTTTCATTATCAAATGCTCGTTCATGGAGAAAATAGAAATGTTTTATTAAAACTTAAAATGCAATGGACATCCACGACCACAACATTCAAATTAAGTAGAAACGGAAGTTATCGGAAATAGCCTTACCATAAAACCTCAAAAAACGTGCTGATAATAAGAAGATCCTGTCAAGTCTTTTGTAAACTGATGACCGTATTTACCCTATCAACAGCCTAATATCCATTCCTCCTACAAGACATCTGAAAGAAAGAACTAAAATTAATGATGAATCGTAAAATCGTTCGCTATAAAAAGACACCGCAAATCAATAAATTAAATTTTTAATGCTGTCATGGGAGAAATGAGAATGATCTGTCTAGTTTGCCACACGAAAGTAGTAATTTGCAAGATCCAATTAATATTAATTGATTTATTTGCTCAAGTCATGTTTGTATTTATAAACAATAGATCCCTATGAAAGTCAGGGATGCCCTATTGTCTTGATATATCACTCTTTTAATTATTAATTCCTTCATATCTCAACACGAGAGAGAACTCGACGCGATCATTGTCTCATCATCTGACCTTATAGTGCTTTTTGTTACTTTTTTCTTCTCTTCTCAACAGGAAAAAATTGAGAAATTTATTAATATCTAAAGAAAATTAATTTTTGGCGCAATTTTTCTAGAGTTGGAAAGATGAGATTTGTCTGACTGTTTGGAGAATAGGTAAGGTGGGATTCGGAGCATAGTCAAGGTGGGATTCGATGCTAAGTCATGAACTCCTTGTTATGCTCTTCACTTTTGTGATTAGAAGCGGTAGTTTAGTTTAATACCCCGCACCTAGTAAGTGCACTGATTCCTAAAGTAGACCTTAATATGGTATTTTAGAAATATAGTTTAGAGTAAACATCAAAGTTCAATCTGATCAACTGGCTATAGAGCACAGAGGGTTGGAAAGCTATGTGTATGCATTTGAGGTTATGTTGAAGAGATATTAGTAGGTTTAGAGAAAGGAGTAGGTTAAGCTAGATCCCACCTTAGGAATAGATCAGATCAATCTTATCCTATACGATTAAATTGCGCTCAAGTCAATCACAAGCTGACCACACACACCTTACCAATATTTTCCTTTTCTTCTTTCCCTTTTATTTTTAAAAACGATTCAATCTCATCTTTTTCCCACAAAAAAAAAATCGTCAGTCGCGCGCGGAAAATTGCCTTTAGGCGAAAAATTACACAATAAAAAAGCATTTCAGTTTTATTCGTGAATTCAAACTGTTGTGACTTAGTTGTGGATAGAAAGCATCATTTTGTATAATTTTTTCGACTGGATCTTTTAAAATTAATTTTGTGCGGCTGTAGTGGAAGTGGATTATTCCTTGGATATTGAGAAAAAAAAAAATAGCCGTCGGTTGAATTTTGAGAACGTGTTGTGATTAAAGAGAATATAAAGTTATTAAAAAGGTATTTAATGCTTCATGGCTGATAACATCATGATAATGAAAATTCCCATACTGTTCTAATCGCTGATCAATCAACTTTTTTTTATTGATATTTATCTGACATAAAACAGCGGAAATTTCCCAAGAGATTAATGCTCTACCTTCATGTCTCAATTCTCTTCATCTTTTCATCTGTAGATGCTATGAATCTTCGAGATATTTCTATCATTAAACAAATTCTCTCAATAATTCATCTCTGCTGACTAAATGACACATGATCATCATCCAGACATGTTTTAATAATTTTATAGCTCACTTTTTTGATTTACTATGTAGCAAAAAAACATGTGGAATCTAGTTCATATTGATCTTGTTTGTTTATATTGAAAAAATGAAAGTATGACTGATTTAGTAGGAATTGGGGAATTAATTTTCTTTCTTCTTGGTACTTGAGTAGTTCCACGAAAGTTTACAAATATTCTGAAGAAAATTTCCCAAGTGATTTTGATTATTTTTGTAAAATTGATTCTTGAAAGATGAAGAGGTGAACCTATTGTGTTTGGATAAGCTAGTCTTTGACTGTACTGAAGCTACTATGCTCAAAAAATGCTAGTCAACACGAGTTTTCGTCTTTAAACCCTCAGTTTCTGAATAATTGCTAGTATCAAACAGAATTTAATGTTTTTCTTCATTCTAAATCTCTCTAATCAAACAAAACTATAAATAGGATACACTGAGATCATACAGATTCAAAATGAGATCATAAAGTACTAAACTACCGGCATCTTTGATGAAACATTTCTGATTTAAGTGTCAATATTGACAGATATTTGCTAAAAACTGAAACTGAAGTCTTTTTGTGCATTTTAAAATGCTGCACGATGTGCTAATTTTATCATACAATAAGATGATGTTTGTTAAAAACATTTCTAAACAAACAATTGTTAAAGATTTGCAAAATTTTATCATAATTAAAACAATTCTACAATTAGAGCAAGTTAAAAATAGGATTGAATTGATTTTATAGTGCTAAATTATATTATGGTGTTAATTGGGGATATCTAGAGGAAAGACAAAACAAATTGAGATTCAAATTTTCTAGTGTTTAAGAAGAAATTTTGAAATTTTCAAAGTTATTGGAATGAAACTTAAATTTGTGAATGACAACATGAAGTTTCGTGTTTCAAATATGATGACTGTAATGTCATTCTTTAAATCTTGATTCTCATCAATTTTATTAATCATATTCACACAAAATTTTCAATTTTTGTGAATATATTTTTGATAAAAAGAAGTTTTGTTAAAACTTAATTTTTTTGTAGATTTTGAAAAAAAAACAAGATTTACAGAATATTTCATTTCTAACGACTTTAAACAGCATTTACACAATGAATTTCATTAAAATGCAAAACCATCCAGTGACAATCAACAATTCAGCATCAAAATAATTTAACTTCTAGCTATCAATCACATTTGATGTCTTAATTAAAATGACAATTAATTTATACTTTATTGGAAAATATTACATCCAGTTAGCAATCAACAAATCTCATCAAAAACTTGTCTCTAATTGACCACTTCTTATTTCTCATATGACAA